TACCTCCCTTGGGCTGGGCCAGCTGGTGGTCAGCCTGCTCCGTCTCTGCCGCTTGCCAGCTACGCCTCGGCCGGCGCAGGGGGCGGAACCACACATGCACGGCTCTCCCGGGCAGGGAAAGTCCTCGACTTACGACCAGTTGGGAAGTCCTCGACTTACGGCCGGTTTAGTCCTCGACTTACGACCGGTTTAGTCCTCAACTTACGACCGGTTTAGTCCTCAACTTACGACCGGTTGGGGTCGCGGCATTAAAAAGGTTGAGAACCACTGCTTTAAAGTGCTCCATGGCAATGGACCTTGTTTCTCGGCCTCAGCACCTTTAAGATGGCTGGACTTCAACTCCCAGAATACCCTTGCTAGCACGCTGGGAGTTGAAGTCCATTCATCTTAAGTTGTCAAGGTTGAGAAACGCTAGTCTAGCATTTAAAAATCTGAAATTCTTTTTTGGCATTGGTGGGTATCTGCTTTTGCGAGGGGGGGGGCTTGAAGATGCCCCAGATGGGAGAAAATTGGGACCTAGGTGCAGTCACCTGGGGTCTGGCTAGGTGCAAACTGCTTCCCAAAGACTGGCAGGGTCCAAATGCAGATTAAGCCTTTGCCTCGGCTGTTCCGGGCTGGGTGAACTTGGCCATTCTGACTTGGCAGAATGTTTTGGGGTTTTTTTGACCACAGAAATGATAAAAACTAATGCAAACTAAAAATAAATAAATAAAAGAAGGGAAAAATAGAAGGTGCAGAAATTTCTTCAGAGCTGTAAATCCAATGTAGGAAAATCCAGGTCACTCTGTAAATTCCTTTTAATTCCCTTTAATTATTAAGACATCACCTGGCTTATTTTGTAAGTGCAGCACCTGTTTCCATATCATGTAGCTTTTCATTTTTAAATCCACTGTCAGATGAGTCTCAATCTGGTCCTGTAAAACTTGTTCCTCTTCCATAATATCTTTTAAACACAGTTCTCTAGAACAGACGGTGTTAAAATTAACTTCTGCATCCATTGCTCAAAAATAATCTTCAACATTGCAAAATAGTTTGCTTAATTCTGCTATGACCTGTCCGTCTTGGCTGGCCCTGCACGGCATAGCTCACAGCTTCATTGAGTTACTCAAGCCCCTTCGCCACGACAAGGCAGTAATCCACGAAGGAGAATTCTGTATTAGTAAATCAAATTAAGTGTTCTTCTCCTTTAATTGTCAACTTTAGTTCCTTCGGGTTCCCTCTGGGTCCAAGCTTCATAGTTTAATCCTATCGGGGTTTTGTTTTTTAAAGAGAATTCAAAACAGAAGCATTTCCCAGTGGGAAATATATTTAATCAATATACTGCATCCAGTTTTGGTCACCATGATGTAAAAAAGATGTTGAGACTCTAGAAAGAGTACAGAGAAGAGCAACAAAGATGATTAGGGGACTGGAGGCTAAAACATATAAGGAACGGTTGCTGGAATTGGGTATGTCTAGTTTAACGAAGAGAAGGACGAGGGGGGACATGATAGCAGTGTTCCAATATCTCAGGGGCTGCCCCAAAGAAGAGGGAGTCAAGCTATTCTCCAAGGCGCCTGAAGGCAGGACAAGAAGCAACGGATGGAAACTAACCAAGGAGAGAAGCAATCTAGAACTAAGGAGAAACTTCCTGACAGTTAGAACAATTAACCAGGGGAACCACCTGCCTCCAGAAGCGGTGAATGCTCCAAAGCTGGAAGTTTTTAAGAAGAGACTGGACAGCCATTTGTCCGAAATGGTATAGGGTTTCCTGCCTGAGCAGGGGGTTGGACTAGATGACCTCCAAGGTCCCTTCCAACTTTATTATTGTTATTATTATTATATTCAAACCCACCCATTTCCCTCCCTTGGAAGACGCTGACCCTGTTTTGAGTAAAAAAAAAATGGCCATTGCGTTGTCTCCCAGAACTCTGAACCAGTTGGAGAGCATTGTTTGTGGTCTCCTCACAAGGAGCAGCTGTCTGGAGCACTTGTGGGTGATCTCAGCTCCTCTCTTTGTCTGGAGAGGAATTGCAAAGAGCCGGTTTCCTTGCCAGCTCTTCTTTCCACTGTGGCCATCGACTTTTGTGGAACCATCTACAGTTCCGTTTCTCTCCTGAAGTCAGGTGAACCGGGAAACTGAGAACAAAATGTCCTCGAAACAAACATCTTAGTGCAATGCAAAGTCCCTCAAGCAGACTGCGTCCCTCTGCGGAGGGTTCTACAAAATGGCTTCTCCTCCAAAGTGAGGCCTTGGTGCTGTAAGGCCCCACTTCAACCCACATCTTAAGAAAGCAGAACTCTTGGAAACAATCTCTTCCAACAGGAACTTTTATTAAGAGTAGTTGATAGCAGGCATAATAGACAGGATCTCAGGGATTCCCTTACAGATTGATGTTTTAAAGTGTCCCTAAGCAACCCCACCCCGCAGTTCTTCCGGGCAATTCAGACCGGCAGATTTCTAGGTGTTAAATCCAGGAAAGATAACATCAATCCGGCTCCATTCTACACGATCATTCAACAGCTCCTCGCACCTTATTTTGATGGCAGAGAAATAAACCAGATCCCGGAAGGCTGTATCTTTTCACGCCCCCCTTTTCCTAGCTGGCCAGTAAGGAGGAGAAGTTCAGAGGGGCATAGGATAAGAGACAAATGGTTACATGGTCATGGTTAGCAGACCCGAAGGCGAATAAACAAAAGGTTACTTTGTAGTGAATAGAGGAAGCGAACGTAATAAAACCCGCATGCATATCCCCCCTCCCCCTTGGGAGTATGGCAGGATCCAGGGAAGGGTGAGAATTGGTTTTAGATCAGAGAAGATAGAAAGGAAATATAACTGGATTCTGACAGGTGCATTGGGGCTCTTGAGCTAAAGAGATTTGCAAAGCTGACCTTTCCATCCTTATTTTCTGTTCCGCACGCTCTGAAAAGGCACCGCCATTCACCTCATTCTGCCCTTGAACTCTGACTGGTTACTCATTGCTCTTGTCTGCCCCCCCTCCAAGGAGCTCCATACGTTGGAAGTGGACTCTGCCCTCGTTGCGTGAAGATGGGGCAGCTGCAGAGAGCCAATCAGGCTCAGCTTCTCCGGGTGGTGTGCCATCTGCTCCTCCCAGGGCAGGGGAGGCAGCGTGCTTTCCATCTTCATCTCCAACGTGGCTCTGTTTTGCACCCAACCAGATCTCGCAGCCTTTTTTTCCCAGCTGCCTTCATCCCAGGAGGGGCCTGAAAGGCTGCAGCCGGCAGCAAAGCAAGCTGGGACTTGTAGTCTAGCAACGATTCCCCTTTCAATTTAACAAAGGTTCAAAGTTACAGCCGTGCTGAGAAAAGGACCTACAGTCCGTTCTTAACACTTATTGACTGTCGCATCTTCCCCACAGTCGGGCGAACTGCAATTTGGACACTGGGCAACAGACTTCACATTTATGACAGGTTGCAGCACCTTGTGGTCACATGATCAGATTTTGTGACGTTTTTGGGGGGGGGCAACGTCCGGCAGAAAACACCGATTGGGCAAGGCGGATTTGCTAACAACCCTGTGATTTGCTTAACGACTCCCGTGACATTGGTCCTAACATTGAATCTGACTTGACTTGCAACCATAAAGGCTGACGGGGGCGATTCCAGTCCAAATTGTAATAACAAGTCAAGGATTAATTCGCAGCTCTTGATGGTTTTTTTTTTTTAGCAATGCCAGAGAATGTTGGGACTACAGTTTCCAGCCCATGTGGGCAGTGGCTGGGAATTCTAGGTGTGGTAGTTTCTCTAGGAAGTTTGGAGTGGAAGTGGCAGACTGAAGGGAAACAGGATTTCTGTAAAGGCTCAGAGCCTTCTGTCAACCTTAACCAAGATACATTTTCCCTTGCCAATTCTAGCCACCCTAGTCTGGTCTTAATTCTCACGCAAGGAGAACCATCAGAGATCTACAGGTGTGACCATTGGTTAGCATCGCTAACTTGGGGCTTGGAAAGGGTCACCCGCCTCCATCTGCTTCTTCACTCGGCCCAGGAGAGGCAAAAGTTGGCAGCCCTTTGTCCAGGATGACCATCTTTGGGGTGATGATGGTCTAGAGATGACCTCCAGCATCCTGTTCTTTCCTTAGTCCTGGGCTGTGGAGAAGAACATAGAATAATAGCATTGGAAGGGACCTTGGAGGTCTTTTAGTGCCAGCCCTGCCCACGGCAGGAGATTCTGTACCATTTCAGACAAATCGCTGTCTAATCTCTTCTTAAAATCCTGTTGTGGAGCACCCACAACTTCTAGAGGCAAGCCATTCCACTAACTAATTGTTTTGACTGTCAGGAAAGTTCTCCTTAGTTCTAGGTTGCTTCTCTCCTTGCTTAGTTTCCATCCGTTGCTTCTTCTCCTTCCTTCAGGTGCTTTGGAGAACAGCTTGACTCCCTCTTCTTTGGGGCAGCCCCTCAGATATTGGAAGGCTGCTATCATGTCCCCCCCTTGTCCTTCTTTTCATTAAACTAGACATACCCAATTCCAGCAACCGTTCTTCGTATGTTTTAGGCTCCAGCTTCTGGGAGGATCTCTTCCCCCCGGAGAGAGAGAGAGAGAAAGCAAAGGGATGCAGGATGAGGTCAGGGCAGGGTGAGCGTCACTCCAAGGGCGGCTGAGGGCCTGTGCCCAGCCATGGTCTTGGTTGAAATACTTGAGTCATCTTCCTGGATATTCTACTTTCTTGCCTCATCCAGAAGACCATTGATGGAGGTGAAGGCAAGGGTGGAAAGGAGACAAACTTGTTTTTCCAGCTAGGAGGCTGAAAGCAGGAAAATTTCTGCAGTTCCTAGCCCTCTTAATACCTCATCGAAAGAGGTGCACCTTTATAAGAAGCCAGAATTTCGGGTTTAATGAGCGAAGAACACACCTGTTGCACGCAGGCCAGTGGGAAGAGAGTTGGGGAAAATATGGCTTTTGTTGAGGAACAGCTTCAGGCCATCTACGATGCATATTTTCACCCCCGTGGAGGTTCCAGGTGTCTCATCCTTCCCTTTTGCCTGTTTTTTTTTTAGGATAATCAAAAACGTGGTCCGCAGCTTCAAGTACCTCTATGGTCTGAGGTTTGAAGTGAAGGGTCTGGAGAACTTCGAGATCGAAGGTCCCTGTGTCATCGTTTCGAACCACCAAAGCATCCTGGATATGATGGGTAGGGGTTTTTGGGCTCCTGGGGGGGGGTCTCACAGTGGGAGGGCTGCCCTTGGGGGTTCAGGGCTCCACCTGGTCACCGAAGGAGGAGGTGCGCCTGGTCTTGGCTTGTACGGCCACTGAAAAGGTGTCAGGCACGAAGAAGTGTACATGTTAATTTCCAATTTAGAGTTATCCATCTCGCACCTATAGGCAAGAATCTACGCAACTAACCATCAGCACTGAAATTGGTGCCAGATAAGGGTCAATGGAATTCACCATGGGAGGTAGAGTTGGATTGCTTGCGGCAGTGAAAGCACTCCAGACTGATTCCTCACTTGACTCCACCCCAGGTTCTTTTCCTGCGGGAGAAGACGACCACGAGGGGCATTCCAATTCTGTGGCCTTGGCTTGAGATTTAAGGGAAGGGCAGGGAAGTCACGGAAGACAGGATCTTCACACACAGACACACCCAGTCTTCTTAACTGAGATAGCTATGTTCACATCACATGTGTAGCCAGGTTTGCTAAAAACCTAAGTGGTATATTTACACAATATACCAAACTTGGTTAGATTAAACCTGGCTGGCTGGCTGCCTCTCTTTCGTTCATTGACTCATTATGCAACTCATATATGTTTGGAATAATGATATTTATACTTGGTTGCACACAAGTCAGCCAGATACTCAGACTGGATTTGGCATCGTTATTATTTACAAAAACAATCGAAGAAAAACAGACGCAGGCCTGTTACTAACATCATCATGTTTGCCGTAAAATTGCCAAATAACAGGGATTTACATCTACATATTAAAATCCCTTATATCAGGTTGAAGATCTAATTTTTGAAGTGAATCATTATTAAAATTAAGTCGTTGTGGTTAATAACTATGATCACTATGACTCAGGTTATAAATTAGGAGCTGGGATAAAAGATAATTTCTGCCTAATGTTAAAAAAAAGGGTACAGTATTATAATCATATGCTAGAAAGAAACTTTGGATATGGTAGGATGTGGATTATAATCCAGAAATAGTTTCCAATGAATTCCAGGCTGGTGTTTCAAATAGGAAAGTACGTTTGCCGTGGAAAAAGTTTGCCATTTTTCTATGAAAGAGACAGGAAATTCCCATGAGAAACAAAGAATCCTTGCCAGTTCTGTACCCTATGTAGACAATTTATTAATGTTTAATTAATAATAATAGTTTGTTAAATTTAGACTTGTCAGATGCATGGAATCAGGAACTAAGGCAGTTCAAATGACTGAAGGTTTATTGCAGAATTATTTATAAATGATAGATGATTTATAGTTCAATATATATATTGAATCACTTGTGAGATGGATAGATAGATAGAAGATAGATAGATAGATAGATAGATAGATAGATAGATGATAGATAGATTAGATAGATTAGATAGATAGATAGACACATAGACAGACAGACAGACAGACAGACAGACAGATAGATAGATAGATAGATAGATAGATAGATGATAGATAGATGATAGATAAATGATAGATAAATAGATGATAGATAAATGATAGATAAATGATAGATAAATGATAGATAAATAGATGATAGATAGATAGATGATAGATATAGATAGATAGATAGATGATAGATAGATGATAGATAGATAGATAGATAGATGATAGATAGATAGGTAGGTAGGTAGATAGGTAGATAGATGATAGATAAATGATAGATAAATAGATCATAGATAGATAGATAGATAGATAGATAGATAGATAGATAGATAGATAGATGATAGATAAATGATAGATAAATAGATCATAGATAGATAGATAGATAGATAGATAGATAGATAGATAGATAGATAGATAGATAGATATAGATGATAGATAGATGATAGATGATAGATAGGTAGGTAGGTAGGTAGGTAGATAGGTAGAAAGGTAGATAAGTAGGTAGATAGAGACAGACAGACAGACAGACAGACTGAGATAGGCTGAAAGTGTGTTGGGCTTCTTCATGACCCAGCTGTAGACTATGACCCACATAAATGGGTAGACTAGGTGTGTGATATAAATGGGTGGGAATCTCCTTCCTCTCATTATAACATTTTATTGTATCATAAAATAAAATACAAAATAAAATACATAAAATAAAATACAAACTACAAAAACAAAAAAACAGGTAGTAGGACCCAGTGGGGGAAAAAGAAGTGAGGGGGAGGAGGGGAGAAATAAAAAAGAACACTGACTCCCAACTTCCTCCGTTGCAGTAGAATAAAGCATTCACATCGAAACTCCAGTTTTTACTTTTCCCAAAGTAGCATAAACTAGCCATTTTCATAACAACAGATCAATCTAATCAGTAAATCCCAAGATCAAAGTTTCATTTTTTCCCCCCACCTCAAGCACAACATCCAGCAGTGGTCTCCAGGTGGAAACAAAAGTACTTAAATTCTTTTCTTTAATCGAAACAGTCAATTTCGCCATCTCTGCCAACTCCATCAACTTCGGTAGCCATTCGTCCATCGTAGGAATCGAAACGTCCTTGTACAATTCTGCCAGTGGCATATATAAATCGTATAGAAAATCTCCTTCCTGATTCGGTGGGGGCTTTTCCTGGTTGGTCTTGCCTGCTGTCCCACCCCTGCCCGACCTTGAAGACCGCCTCCCAGCCCCCAGCTGTGAAAGGCAATTGAGAGACTCTAATGTCCTCAGAGACCATGAAACCTTGACTTGAGGTTTCAAAGCTGCAAAATAAGGGTTGCAACTCGGTGGTTTCCATTTTTTGCCTGCCCAACGATCCTGCGAGGCAGGCTAGGACTAGCTCGGGGTTCCCCAGCCTCAGATTACCTCTCATNGAGATCCGGGTGATTCCGGATCTCCCCTCCTTCCGCCGCGCCCTCAAGACATGGCTATTTAAGCTAGCAGGACTGGCCTAAGGGTTATCTTAATTTGGTTTGAAAATAATTTTAATAAGAAAAGGCCAAAAATTAATATTCTATTTTAATTATATTTTAAATTCAGTATTTTTGTATTATGTACCTGTTTTAAATGGCTGTAAACCGCCCTGAGTCCGCTGGGAGAAGGGCGGGGTAGAAATTTAATAAATAAAATAAATAAATAAATAAATAAACAGGACGGTTCCTCGGAGCCTCTGCCGGTCACGGTGGGCGAAGACAGGAATAAGAGGGGCGCTTGGTGGATCTCCAGAACCTCGGAGGCAGCATGTTTCACGTGTGTCCCTCCTGCGCTCTCCTTCGCAGGGCTGATGGAAATCCTTCCGGAGCGCTGTGTCCAGATTGCCAAGAGGGAGGTGTTGTTCATGGGGCCCGTGGGGCTGGTCACTTACCTCGGCGGGGTCATCTACATCAACCGGAAGAGAACCGGCACGGCCAAATCCGTGATGTCCGAAGTCAGCCAGGCCATGACCAGCGACAACGTAAGTGTGTGTGTGTGGGGGGGTGGGTGGGCTGAGAGGGCAGCTGCAACCCCTGGTCTGGTCCCTTTGGGATGAGAGCTCGGCCACTGAGCTTGCCTGCTGGATGAGGCAAAACGGGGCTGGGGGTCAGTTATTGTGAGAGCTGAGCTTTGGTTTGTACAGATAATAATAATAATAATAATAATAATAATAATAATAATAATAATAACAACAACAACAACAACAACAACAACAACAACAACAATAATAATAATAATAATAATAAAAAAAACTTGGAAGGGACCTTGGAGGTCATCTAGTCCAACCCCCTGATCAGGCAGGAAACCCTATACCAGTGGTGGCGAACCAATGGCACAAGTGCCAGAGGCGGCACTCAGAGCCCTCTCTGTGGGCACGCGCGCCGTTGCCCCAGTCCTAGGCCTTCAGCTGGGTTTTCTAAAACCTTTTCGCTTTAGGCCTCCGCCACCATGTGCAAAAAAAAAAAAAAGGTTCAATCAATCAGTCAATTTCAACTTCTCGCGGGGGAAAAAAAAGATGTTGCAAAGTTGGAATTGATTGATTGAACTTTTTAGTCCCACCGCAGCCACGCCCACCCAATGGGCCACACCCACCCGGCACCCGACGATGCATAAGTGGGTTTTGGGTTGCAGTTTGGGCACTCGGTCTCTAAAAGGTTCGCCATCACTGCCCTATACCATTTCAGACAAATGGCTGTCCAGTCTCTTCTTAAAAACCTCCAGTGTTGGAGCATTCACCGCTTCTGGAGGCAATGAGTTCCACTGGTTAATTGTTCTTACTGTCAGGAAGTTTCTCCTTAGTTCTAGGTTGCTTCTCTCCTTGGTTAGTTTCCATCTGTTGCTTCTTGTTGCTTTATTTGCTGGACAAATATATTCAACTGATCAATCAGAATAGAGCTGGAAGGGACCTGGAGATCTTCTGGTCCAACTGCCCCCCCACCACTCAAGCAGGAGATCCTTGACCATCTCAGACAAGTGACTGTCCAGTCTCTTCTTAAAAGCTTCCAATAATGAAGTGCTCACAACTTCTGGAGGCCAGCTGTCCCACTGGTTAATTGTCCTCCCTGTTAGGAAGTTTCTCCTTAATGCCAGGTTGCTTCTCTCTTTGATCCAACCATTGTTTCTTGTCTTCCCTTCTGGTGCTTTGGAGAATAATTTGACCCCCCCTCTTCTTTGTGGCAGCCCCTCAGATACTGGAATACTGCTATCATGTCATCCCTATTACTTCTTTTCTCTAGACTGGCCGAACCCAGGTCCTGCTAATATAGCTTAATATCTTAAAATAACTTTGAATATATTTTTTCCTCTAGACTAGCCATGCCTGGTTCCTGCTAATATAGCTTAATATCTTAAGATAATTTTGAATAAGATAATTCAAAAGGCCACACTTGGAATACTGCATCCAGTTTTGGTCACCACGATGTAAAAAAGATGTTGAGACTCTGGAAAGAGTACAGAGAAGAGCCACAAAGATGATTAGGGGACTGGAGGCTAAAACATATAAGGAACGGCTGCTGGAATTGGGTATGTCTAGTTTAACGAAGAGAAGGACAAGGGGGGACATGATAGCAGTCTTCCAATATCTCAGGGGCTGCCCCAAAGAAGAGGGAGTCAAGCTATTCTCCAAGGCGCCTGAAGGCAGGACAAGAAGCAACGGATGGAAACTAATCAAGGAGAGAAGCAACCTAGAACTAAGGAGAAACTTCCTGACAGCGAGAACAATTAACCAGTGGAACAATCTGCCTCCAGAAGCGGTGAATGCTCCAACACTGGAAGTTTTTAAGAAGAGACTGGACAGCCATTTGTCCGAAATGGTGTAGGGTTACCTGCCTGAGCAGGGGGTTGGACTAGATGACCTCCAAGGTCCCTTCCAACTTTTTTATTATTATTATTATTATTATTATTATTATTATTATTATTATTATTATTATTATTATTATTATTATTATTATTAATTTTGAATTTGAATAAGTTGACCCCCTCCTTTTGTGGCAGCCTCTCAAATACTGGAATACTGCTATCATGTCCCCCCTGCTCGTCCTTCTTTTCTTTAGACTAAGCGAAACTCAAATCCTGCAATTGTTCTTCATATGTTTTAGTCTTCAGGCCTTTAATCATCTTAGTTGCTCTTTGCACTTCTTCTTAAGCTTCTTGGGGGGGGGAGATAGGATTGCACTGCTCTCAAAAGGCTCCATAGATTTGGCCTGTTGGAAGGGAGACCACCAGGAAATCTCAGGATCAGGAAAATGAAACCATTGTGGAAGAAAGGCAGGGCAGACAATTTCCATAATTGTTAGGGTGTTCCGATAACCTGGGTTTGTGTGAATGCAACTGCCTTCTACGTGATTTGCGGAACGGGCCTTCTTCCAGGAAAAGGAAAAAGATGGACTTAGCATTTTGAAGGCCTCTCAAAGAGATCTCCTGCTGGGGATTTCACTAAGAACCTCAGGAATCCAGTCATTGCTTTGTCCCAATAAGGCTGCAGATTCTAATCAGGAGGAGTAAATATGTCTCAGCTGAAGCAGCCAGATGTGGCATCTTGTCTAGACAGGCCTGGTTGAGTGAATTGGAGATTAGTTGCTCTCTAAAAGGGTGGCTGAATGTGCCCCACCCCTACCCCAAAATTAATCAAGAAAGTTAAAAGGAGGAGAGCTGGCAAGATCCGTGTGCTGTTTGAAGCACCAGAGCAGCAACAGAAGTAATCAAAGTGCTTTGATCTTTGCAAGCCTGCATTTTTAACTTTTTACTTATTGGCACTGACTTACAAAGCGAGTGGAACTTCTATGGCACCACTGAGGCTATCCTTCTAACCAGGTTCACACACCCTGGCTCTTTGGATGCTGAAACAGCATTTGAGGCCCCCGAGACCAGCAGATCAGACTTTCAGGGCACATCAATCAACCTGCGTTTACACAGCCGGTTTCCTTACACACAGACACACACTGGCTTTTTACCCCTCTGATGAAAAAGCTGCCTTCCACCACTCACACGTGCAGAGTGTCTTCTCTTGAAGAAGAAAAGCCTTGGGGTTTTTCTTGCTTGGAGCTTTTGACCCCTCTAAGGATACGAGGAGTCGTTTCCAGCTGTTGTTGTTCGTCCATCGATTTCGATGAAGACCTTGACTTCTTATGGATTGTGGGCCATCAGCGGTGTGTCCGTAGATGGCTGATGAGACCGATGTTAGCACGGAATGTTCTGCCACATACTGAACAGAGAAATGTGGACACTGTTGCTTCAGCATTTGCAGCTCTGGCTTGACGGAGTGCTCGCTTCTCTTGTGCCAAGATTGTCCTTCTGTGTTCGTATGTCTGGCACCCCTGGTAAACCAGGGTACGCCACGTCGGTCGATCATGTGCCCAAAATTCCCAAGAGATGGTGTCGATATCCAGGGACTTGAGAGATGCTTTCAGCGTGTCTTTGTATCGCTTCTTTTGTCCCCCGTGCGATCGCTTTCCTTGAGACAGCTCACCGTAGAAGAGCTGTTTAGGGATGCGATGGTCTGGCATCCTTACAATGTGGCCTGCCCAGCGCATCTGGGCTTTCATCAACAGAGTGTAAACTGATGATAGGCCTGCTCAGTGAAGGGAATCAGGTAACTGACCAACTGGTGGAAGGCCGGTCAGCAGCCTCCCCCCCCCCGTGCCTTTTCTGGCCTCCGATCTGATCTGTGCCAGGGCACCAGCTGTTCCCGGCCTGCTCTCTCTTAAGATATTTGGAAATGGTCCTGTCCAAATAACCTCCAAGAAAACGTTAGTATTTCTATGCCACTTTTCAAACTCCTCAAGAGTGCTTCAGCGAATTACTTTCCCAATCAGCTCAAACCAATCTGGCTACTTGAAGAAGCCCAGAAAATACGAAAGGTGCCATTAATTTTGCTGGCCAGGTAGAATTGGATTGGCTGATTTAAAGCACTTTAATTTCCAGAAGAGCTTCAGATTTTCTTCCTGTGCTCAAATCATTTTGAGACCGGAGTGCAAATTAGAACATAAAACATGGAATAATAACATTGGACCTTGGAGGTCTTCCATTCCAATGTCCTGCCCATAGTAGGAGACCCTCTAGTCCAGTGTTTCTCAACCTTGACAATTTTAAGGCATGTGGACTTCAACTCCCAGAATTCCACAGCCAGCATTGGGAGTTGAAGTCCACATGCCTTAAAATTGTCAAGGTTGAGAAACACTGTCCTATAGTATACCATTCTGGACAAATGGCTGTCCAGTCTCTTCTTAAAAGCCTCCAGTGATTGAGCACCCACAATTTCTGAAGGCAAGACATTCCACTGGTTAATTGTTCTAACAGGAAATTTCTCCTTAATTCTGGGTTGCGTCTCTCCTGGATTAGTTTCCACCCATTGTTTCTTGTCCTGCCTTCAGGTGCTTTGAAAAATAGGTTGACCCCTTCTTCTTTGTGGCAGCCCCTCAAATACTGGAATACTGCTATCATGTCACTCCTAGCCCTTTTTTTCTCTAGGCTAGCCGTACACAGTTCCTGCAATTGGTCTTCATATGTCTATGGAGATTCTCAGTCATCCAGGTCATGGTTCTCCCAAAGGTGCTTTTTCAAGAGACAACTGGACTTCAAAGTTTTTCTTTGAAGATGTTTCACTTCTCCTCCAAAAGCTTCTTCAGCTCTGGATGGTGGGGAATGGAAGGATTTGTATTTGTTGCAACCAGCTGGTCACTTGCCTTCTTTTGGAGGTTTACCTGTGTCCTCGGGGTCACCTGAGTAGTGCAAAGGGGTGTGGAACTGCTGAAAGGACTGTGTTGTAGAGTGGAGATAGATGGTGTCGTATCCTCCTCCCCCTCTATTGAGAGAGGACTGATCAGTTTTGACCTAGATGGCCTCTTTGACCCCTCTTTCAAACCAGCGGTCCTCTCTGTCCAAAATGTGGACCTTGCTGTCTTTGAAAGAGTGACCTTTGCCTTTTAAATGCAGATGATGAACCGCTGAATCTTGTCCTGATGGGTTTGTTCTCCTATGTTG